CTCTAGTTGACTATATATATATATCTTGACGAGGGACGAGATCTCATCACATAAATATGAGCCTCATTGTACGTCAGACCGCCCTTGTGCCAAACAAGTGGTGTAGGAAGACTCTGTGTGGTAAAACCAGACATGAACTTCTCTACATCAAAGTGAAACTGAAATAAGCAGATCTTGTGACACTTTCAAAATTTCACATTTGAATATCTTTCGCTTTGTTATTTAAGTTAAAGTAGCCTTCATTTTCATCCAATGGTTCATTTCTATCTTGTTAGTATATTATGTCCATTTTATTTTAGTCTCTTCTTCAATGGTACATTTAAATAATAATTAAATTATTATTATTATTATTATTATTATTATTATTATTATATTTGTTTGTAATTTTTTTTCATATTATATTTAAAAACAAAAATTTAATTTAAAACATTTTTTTATTCATTCAAAAGAGCTTGTGACTAATTTAATTCTAAATGTTCAGTCACTCTAAAGGAACTTTATCACTAATTTCATTTAAAAGTTTTGTTCATTTATCTATAAACTTTTGGTTGATACGTTCCCTCATTATATACAAAGGAATTACCACAAAAATGCTCGTGAAATAAAAAAAAAAATTGTATAAAATTAAATATTTTAGAAAAGTTCTTGAACTCTTTATTATTATTTTTTTAATTAAAAAAAAAACTTTTTTAATATATTTTTAAAAAATTTTTAAAAAATGTATTTTCTAAAAAAAATGATTAAATAAGTTTTCTTCTAAAGACTTGAAAAAAATTTTGTAAAAAATATTTACTACTAAAAACATCGTGTTTCAGTTCACTGTTAATTTTCCAGCCAGTTCATCATTTTCCATGTGAGTTGCTAAACAACCAAAAAAAAACAAGAAATGAAAAAAAAGAAGAAAGGAAATAAAGGAGAAAAAAGAGACAGAAGTAGAGTCCGAGTGAAGTGTGGACTGTCAGGGGGTAACGTTATGGAACGTGGTGTATAGAATGAAAAAAAGTGTTATACTATATGGGAGTGGACGAGAAGTTGTCGGGAAGGGGAAAACTGGTATAGGGCAAAAAAAAAAAGATATACACTGTACTGACGCCATTGTCCACAAAATTGTGAAAGATTATCTATCTACACGCACACCACCAGTGGTGTGTACATTGTTCTCCACATTCGTTATGATGTGTTGCTACATGCAAAAAAAAAATGTAAAAAGAAATATAGAAAAAAAATTTTTTTTTCACCATGATGGAATTTCTCACTTGATGTGTTTGTGTGTGTGTATCTAGATAACGTATTTTTACTGAGACCTGTCGACTCAGAGAGAGATTTGGAATGAAAAATCTCACTCTCGTCTAAACAGACGAGAAACATTTTCCAACTTTAAAACTGCCTCCGACAGCTAAACCTCGTATTTTTGTTCACGACTTTTCCCATGTGTATATTATATATACACAGAGAGAAAACAGATCTATAATTTTGATTCAAGCATCGCAGTGCGGATGTTGGTAAAAAATAGAAGAAAAAAAAGTACAAAGCTTCCTCTCAGTGAGGAAGGGAAATGAAAAAAAATTTTATTTTAAAACGGATCTTCGATTCTATTTCTGATTGGAATGTTTTTCATATTGATGATATTGGATTAGATTTATATCATTCAAATTATTACTCGAATCTTTTTTTTTATTCAATTTGAAATTATTTTCAGAAACAGGGAGAAGGTAAGGGAGAAGGACAGGGAGAGGGAATGGAAAAATTTAAAGGAGAAGAAAAGGGAGAAAGGAGGAGGAAAGGGAGAAAGGATGGAGAAGGAAGAGAAGAAGGAAAGGGAATGGGAGAAGAAAAGGGAGATGGTAAGGGAGAAGGAAGAGGAGAAGGAAAAAGGAATGGGAGAAGAAAAGGGAGATGGTAAGGGAGAAGGAAGAGGAGAAGGAAATGGAATGGGAGAAGGAAAAGAAGAAGGAAGGAAAAATGGTAATGGTGAAGGAACAGGAGAAAGGAGAAGGGAAAGGAAGAGGAAAAAGAGATTATAAGGGAGAAGGAAGAGAAATAGGAAATGGAGAAGAGAAAAGAGGAGGAAAGGAAGAGGGTATGGGAGAAGGGAAAGGCGAAGGAAAATGAGACGAAAGGGAGCAGGGAAAGGTAAAGGATTCAGTAAAGGGAAGGGAAGAGGAAGGATAATTATAAATTAACAACGATATGGAGACACGTTAATTAATTTGTAAAAATATGATTATTCAATTTTTTCAATCAACATATATAATTCACAATTTTCCAGCAACCTTGCTTCAAAAAAAATTCTCAATTTCAGATAAAATTTTCTCTAAAAGCACCTACTAATCCCGGATGTATGAATTTCCCGTTTCTTTTTTTTCCACAAAATCAAGAATCATAAATAACTCGACTGTAGATCGTGGCCTCGATTCGACAGGCTCAAAATAAAAGTCAAGACGAGGTAACGGAGTTGTCAGGATGCGTCTCTCTCGCTGGATCTCTTTTTGGATCTACGATCTCCAGGGATTCTAGAGAGAGATCAGTTTTGCTGGGCGATCGATCCCCAGATAGTTGCAAAATGCGAGTGCACGCCGCGTGCTTTACGGCCCACGCAGGTCGAGAAGTATCGAGATAATGTGAACCAGCCTGAACGAAATGAAAGAAGAAGGAGGAGGAGAAGAAGAAGACAGATCGCTATATATTAAATTTATTAGACCGAAATTTTTTTATTCTAAAAAGAAATATTTATTTAATTTAAATTTCATTTATTTCTTCAGAACATTTTTTTTTATTTTTCACCATTTTTTGGAAAAAAAGACTCAAAAATAGAATAGGAAAAAAAAGAAGAGGAGTTTCATTAGAAATTTTATGAATGAAGAAGTCAGCGAACGAAGAAAGATTACCACATCTCTTGTGACCCGCAAAAAGTTATTATCACACTGAAAAGCAATGCGAGAGAATCTGAGTCACATTTGACGAAAGATTCGCGAGATATGATGCAAGAGCAACGAGCATCCTATTGTTCTCTCGGAGGCGCGCATCAAGGCGCGAGAATAAAATTAGGTTAAGTAGCGATTAACCTCATCGCGATGATGTGCCGACTCTCTTTCTCTCTCTCTGTGATGCGATGGCTTTTAAAAGGGAACAACCAACTTCGCTGAAAAGGCACCCAGATTCCAACCACAAAGTACGAGACTCAGCGGCTGCAGAAAACCCTCGAGGGAAGAGAGAAAAGGGCAGGGAGAATGAGAATGAGATCAAAATATTCCTCCAGAGACAAGAAACGAGTTATGATCCACATTGAGATGATGATAATGATGATGATGAGCGAAAGGAGAGACAGAAAAGACCATCAGACGAATCTTCCATCTCGTGGGCGTCAGTTGTCTTTAAAGATAAACCAGAAACATGTGAATACGAAAGATAGAAAGAGAGAAGGAGAGGAGAAAAATTAAATCTCTCACGCTTTTCTCTTTCTATCTTCATCGTTTCTTTGCCGAGATGCACTTCATGTGATATAAGTGTGCTACTCGTCTTGAGTGCAGGGAGGAATTTTTATTTACATTCCACTTGAAAATGTTCCTTCCCAATAGAATTACCATAGAGATTGCGTTGGAATTTTGATAATAATTTCCGCTGAATTTCTATTTCAGTTTTTGGTAAGGAAATTAACGATCGGAATTCTGCTGGAAAGATATGGGAAATTCCGCCGAAATCTGAAGAATATGGCGGAAAGGAAAGGGAAACCTCAAGATATCGTGGGAATTTTAATAATTATTTCCACCGGAGTTCCCTTTCCTCCTCCGACAGAATTCCAAAGAATTTCCCTCCAGAAATGAAAGGGAAACGTCGAGATTTCTTGGGACTTTTCCATAATTATGTCTGCCGGAGTTTCCTTTCCTTTACCAATGGAATTCCAAAAAATTTCCCTCCAAAAAGGAAATTTCGGCGGAATTCTATAATTATTTCCGCCCTAGTTCCCTTCCCTCTTCTAGCGGAAATTACATAGGATTTGCGGAAAATAATTATTCCCATTCCAACATAAATTCCAAAATTCCGTTTGTGAATTAAATTATACTATTCTCTGAAAAAAATATATAAATATTAGAAATTAAAACAACGAGTTATGTTTGCGAAAATAGCTCCTCTCTGAACCTGGCCAATTAATTTTCGCACTCATCTTATCGTGATTCTTCTTCTTCGACGACGACTACGAAGACGACGACGACGAGGAAAGAAAGAACCGAAAAGGTTAGTTTATTCCTGGCGGCGTAAGGCGACGAGCTTCACCAACAAGAGATGAAGGTAGAGGGAATGGAAAGGCAGGGGGGGCTGGAGGAGAGGGCAGAGGACGAGAGAAGAGGGCCCACTCGGTGCGAAGAGGGCCGCAGCAACGACGAGGTCAATGTTCCTCGACGAGGTGCATTGCCTCGAGGGCGAAGGGGAAAAAAGAAAGAGCGAGAGTGACAGGGCCGTATTCCATAGGTTAAATGGAGACTTCCCTTAAAACAGTGGATATTTAACCAATATCCTAATAAATGTGCCGAGAATTATTCGTCAGCTTCAAAGGAAATTAGGAAATATCCACTGAAGTCCTTGAGACATCCTAGGGAATAATGTTATAATACAAATAATAATAAATCCTATATTAGGATTAAGAAATCCGTAGGGAAGTCCGGAAGATAGAATTAAGACACCCGTAGGGTATTAAATACTACGATGGGATTAAGAAAGTTCGTGGGAAATTCATAGGATATCCTATTTTAGGGTGGGAATAAGAAATCTGTCGGAAGTTGAGAAGGAAAGGGAGAAAGGAGGTGAAGAAAAGAAAAGGGAGAAGGAAAGGGAAAAAGAGAGACAGGAGAAGAAGAAAAGGGAAAAGGAAGAGGAGAAAGAATGAGAGAGACGATGGGAAAAGGTAAGGGAGAAAGAAAGGGAGAGGGGATAGGAGAAGCAAAGGTAGAAAGTAAGGGAGAGGAGATGGGAGAAGGAAAGGGAGTAGGAAAAGGAGTAGGAGAAGGAAAGGGAGAAGATATGGGAGAAGGAAGTGGAACAGGAGAAGAAAAGGAAAGAGGAGAAGAAATGGTAGAAGGAAATGGAAAAGGAAAGAGAAAAGGAAAGGAAAAAGGAAGTAGAACAAGGGAAGGAAAAAGAGAAGGTAAGGGAGAAGAATAGGAAGAAGGAAATGGAGGAGGAAAGGGAAAAGAAAGAGGAAAAAGAGAAGAAAATGAGCAGGAAAAAGGGGAAGAAAATAGGAAGAGGAAGGGGTGAAAAGGGGCAGGAGGAAAGGGAGGAGAAGGAAAATAATACTATAATTAAAGGATATGTAAGAAATACATTAAAAAAACAGTAATTTTTAAGTAGCAACAGGACGAGGAAATGGAGTGAAAAAAATGAGGATGACCAGCATAATAATTATCATATATATAACAAATACAAAAAAAAATTTTCATCATAAAAACAAAATTTATCTCAAATATTTCCCAACTTTTTTACCCAATTATGAAAATTACACCTCTAATTTAATATTAATAACTGTACATTTTATTTCCAAAAAAAAGAGTAAATAATATGTGGGCAGAACAAAAAAGAAACCGATTTCTCCTCGTCTACTATTAATACATGTAATCCTAATATTTGAACATTGAGCCCTCGACGCGTCAAAGCTTTTTTTTGAATTAGAATAAATCGTCTCTTCAAAAGAAGGTTATGAAGAAGGCAAAACACTCAACTCCAAGAAGGAGAAAAGAGTATATGTCAACATTTCAGGAAAAAAAAACTCGTTGAGCAACTCTACCCAAATTAGGAGTTGGTGACTGTTTATCTTTTGCGCGGGGAGTAAGTTTTGGTGTGTGTGTGTGTGTGTGTGGAGCTTTGACTTTGCGCTCATCGAACTTATCCATTACAAGCCGAAAAAAAACCAGTTTCCACCTTAAACTCGAATCGCCCCTTTTGATTTAGAATTGTGACTCCACAGTAAGAGGGAGAAGGACAATGATCAGACGAACGCCGACAATTTACAACAAACAAAAGCTAAAAAAAAAAGAAATAGCAGCTTCACTCGGATTAACAACGAGCTGTGTCGAGAGAGAATGAAAGAGAGTGGTTTTGATAACTTAACAGCTTAAGAAGCTTTTAGTGTGCATGATACACATTATTTTATATGATACAACTTCATGAATTATTTTTTTTTCATGACAATGTTTGGATTTTCAAAATCTATTTTAGTCGATTAGGAAAAAAAGTCTACATAAAAGTTGGGAAATTATGTTGCATATATATATATATATATATATATATATATATATAAAGAAGGATTTTTATAATAACGGAGAGGGAAAAAAAATTATTTTTTAAAAAAAATATATAATCCTTTATATTAGAATTATCCTCTTATACGGCCCTGAAAGTTTTGCGCTGTGAAGAAAGGGCGCAGAAAACGGAATAGTTGAATGAGAATGGGAAGAAAAGTGGATGGGAGCCTGCAGAACCAGCTAACTTGTACCGGCAGGTGCATCGGGACGAACTGCGTGTGCAGGATAAGAGAGAGGAACATTATATATATATATATATATATGTACCAGAGAGATGCGGATTCCCGTAATTACGATCCGTGTGGTTTGTCGAGTTACGAGCGATTTCGATATATATATATATATATATATATATATATATGCGTTCAAATATGCAGCCAGTTATGCCACGTAAGCGCTATAATCTAGTGATAGGCGAATTATTTCTCGCGATATGGATATCAGTTCGTAGAAACGGAAAATCAAATCCAAACCTGAACAAAGTGTCCGGAATTCAAAATTTAAATTCCCCAATTCGATGAAAATTGGCGATGAGAGAAATTGAAAGCAATATTATTTGCGTGAAGAATCAATTTTTTTTTTGTATGACAAAAAAATTTTTTTTAATTTTAACTGCGATTGGTTATTATTTCCTCCTGAGAATTCCAATTATTTCCAATTAATTAAAATCCCCAAAAAAAACCAAAATTCTTCGGGGTAAAAAATCCATGGAGTCGTAAAAATTGTTATAGTTTTGCATTAGATGAAATTCAAAATATATAGCATTGAAATTAAAAGGTGACAGCGGTGGGATCAATAATTTTCAGGACTTTTAAAAGAATTAGCATCTAAAGATTAACATTTTGTAATTAGAAACTCCAACTCTAAACCTAAAATCATGTTTTCATTTTAAAGAATTACGAGTCAAAATAATTATCATCAAAATTCTTTTCATCTTTTTGAAACTTTGCATCTAAAAATAAAGCCAATAACAGCATTCATTTACTAATTAATAGGTTTGCAATAAGCTGCTTATGATAAGCAAATTAGAAACCAGTAATTAGTAATTTAGATAAAGCCAGAGGAGAAGGGTAATTTGCGAGAGAGAGAGAGAGAGAGAGAGAGAGAGAGAGAGAGCTGAAGATTCTGTATCGATTCGACAATAGAAATACTTTGTTGAAACGGTAATTGCAAGCGATATAAACAGAAGAACGAGAGATTAGGGGAAAATAGTCAAAGGAATTCCTTGCAATGAGGAAGTAATACTGACGAAACATATTAACTTTTCCGTTTAATTAAGATAAGCTGTGGCAATATCCAATTAAAGTGTCGCGCAAATCAATTATTTATAGATCGCGATGGAAGCTGTGAATTTTGCTAATTAATGAAAGTGATGATCAAAATTCGGCAGCCTCTCTATCTCTCTCTCTCTTTCTTTCTCTTTCAACCAGAATGACACTGACAGATTGGTACGAAATGCTTATTAGTCAACAACTTATGAGAAGCAGACGACGAGTCGTTAGCTCGTTAGGTTAAATTAACGTCTCGTGCGTTGTTCGACCTAATAAGATGAGACATGAATGTCAAAATGTCAGTGTCTTGCTTGTCTAACAAGTCATCCAAAATTCTTATCATCCACATGAATAGACTGACAAATATATTTCTCACCTTATTTATTTATTTTTTTTTGAATTTATCCACTTTTAGAAAAATAGTCCCAATCAAAAATTGATGTATTTTTTTTTCTTTTGCTTAATCCCTTCATTTTGGAGTAAAATTAAAGTCTCTTTTTGATAAAAATTACGCTGTCTGCAACTGTGTGACAGAATCTGGATGGAGAGATGAGAAAAAGTCGAAGCTGCAAGAAGACACTTCTTTTCATCTTACAGGAAGTTTTTTGAATTTGAGTTTTTTTATTATTGTTTGAAGGTAATGGAAAATTTTGTTTTTTTCGATAGATTTCTGTTATCGACTTTTTTATCGACATTTACAAAAGAAATTCTAAATGAGACGAAAACGATGATTTTTCCCAATGTCGATAAATGTTGTTAACAGAAATCTGTAAATAGAATTTTTTCCTTTATTTTTCGACTAAATTCCTATAATTCGAATAATTATAGTTACTTTGCAAAAAAAGGTGGTTTCAATTCATGCTAAATGAGAAAAACCAGAAACTTTTTTTAATATCGGTAAATGTAGATAACAGAAATCTGTAATTAGAACCTTTTCCTGTATTTTCTACTAGATTCCTGTTATCGATCTTTTATCGAGATTTACAAAAGAAATCATACTAAATGAGACGAAAACGATGAATCAAACCAATGATTAAAATAATTTTTTTAATGTCGATAAATGTCGGTAACAGAAATCTGTAATTGGAACTTTTCCTCTATAATATCTCATGTAATTGTGAAATATCCATGAAAATCAATTATTAGAATCAATTTTTCCCAATGCCGGTAAATGTCGGTAACAGAAATCTGTAAATAGAAATATTTCCTCTAATTTACGACAAAATTCCTATTATTCGAATTATTATCGTTATTTTGCAAAAGAATGGTTCTAAATGAGAAAAACCAAAAAAAAATTCTTGAATGTCGGTAAATGTAGATAAAAGAAATCTGTAATTAGAATTTTTTTTTCTTTTACTTATATAAAACTAAGATTTCAGCCGTCTTCAAGTTGAAAAATTTTGAACATTTTGTAATCCAAAATAAGAAATGTGCGATCAGGAATCCAAATTATTGTATAATTCAAAAAAGTTATCTATATAAAATCGAACCCCTGAAGAGTATATCTAATAAATTCGTCCCTCATTTTTCGCGAGGGGAAAAAAGTAAACAGATTGGCGGGGGTGAAATTGTTGAGGGTAACTTGTTCATGAAATGAGGAAGTGAAAAAGTCACGATTGCTGTGTGTAAGAATCAAATGAAATTGGTCAGAGTGTTTCCGTCCTAGTTTCTTCTTCTTCTTCTTCTTCTTCGACTTGGTGAGTGCCGGACAGCTCTTTATTATTGTTTCACCGCAGTTTCGGCACCCCTTCTCTTCCTCCCGGAACACAATCTAAAAATCGTTATTCTCCGTCGAATTCTACGCCCTCTTTCTGAGCAGAAGAGGAAGAAGAAGAAGTAGAAAAAAAGTAACAGAAAAGAAAAACGGTTTCCGCAAACACCACCAGAAGCTCTTTCTGTTCTTTCTTCTTTTTTTTCCTCTCCCTCGCTTTAAGTTTCCGGTTCCTCTTTCTCTCTCCCTCTCACATCCAAGGGGAGAATCACAGAGTCGTGAAAAGGAATCGTTATATCTCGCACTTTAAGTCCGAATTCAGGAGCAATGAGAATTAAAGAGAGAGAAAGAAGTAGACTTTGTCTATTCCATGAAGCGTCCCCTTCAAAAAAAGAAAAAAAAAAAAAAAAAATTGAAACAGAATATTAAGATTAAAATGAAACCTCCGTTTCGCGAGAAGAAACAATTCAATTACAAATTGAGAAAGAGACTCTCAAAAACTGGTAGAGAGAAGATCAAACGTTTCACAATTTAAACATCTTTAAATACTATGCTTTAGATCTCGTTTTATCATTCCGCTTTCTCATCTCAAGAATTTTATTCGAAAGCTCTTGCATAAGATGTTTAAAAAAAAAAAATAAATTCCTTTTTTTTCTCTCTACCCTGACCTGAAGGATTGCTGTCATTAAAGTTGCACGGGTATCCATTAAGGCTGAATGCGCAGTAAGTGTTTAAAACTCTCTTTCTTTCTCTCTCTCTCTTTCACATCTGCCGTAAAGGAAAATTATAATGTTATATTAATGCTGAAATGTCCCTAATGTTACTACGACGTCTTTTAAAGCTTTTAAAATAATGAGCGAACGGAATAATTATCAACTACAAGGTCGACTGGGTTGTTTGCTACGAGTTTGTAATATTAACGAAAATGTCATTTCCAAGGGAACGACAATTTTTTTTTTTTGATTCGTTAACGATATCCTGTATATTAATATTTATGAAAAAAAAGAAATTCGATTATCCACTTCCTTTAGTGAAACGTTATCTTATAAGGAATATATAAAAA